CGGAGAAAATACAAGCTTCGTTCGCGTTGAATATATATATCAAGGCACAAATTCATCTTTCATAAACTTTTTGTGTCTTGGTGCTTAAAATATCCACATATCAACGAAAATATGTAATACATGTATCCACAAAAATATACATGTACAGGCTAGGTATTTGCCCACAGCAACACCTGCATAACTGTTTATTCACGCGTGGTGTGGCAGATTGTAATTGACCGACAACAAGTATTGTAGAATCACCTGTAAATAAGGCCGACACTGTAATTAGACACAACGTACTAATGAGAATATGAGAATTATCATAAGAAGGCTGTTACGTTTTTCTTAACTATTACCATTTTCATACCAAAAGTGACAATGCAGTTAAAAGTTGCTTTAGTGTCACAATATTCACTCACGTTTTCCTCAATCGCATTGAAACATAATTCCTACTGGTCAGTTCGACACTGCTTGTAATTAAATAATTATTTCGAGATTTCGTTAGAATGTAAGATATTCAGCCAAACGTTATGCAATAAAAGACGAATAGTTTCTTTCCATTAAAATACGCGCACGCGTACCTGTCACGTAATTGCACAGTGTGATGTATCAACGGGTCATAAAATGGGAAATGAAATAGAAACTAACTAAAATTTAATGTTGTACACGCACATGAATTCGTATGATAAACTGCCAAAACGTTTTGAGAGATAAGGCCGGGTTCATTAAAGATATTGGGTGCGGTTAGGACCAAACTTTTTCAGCCAAGAGTGTTAGTGGTCCTGGAACCCATAGTGTCAAACAGGTTCTGCACAATACGTCCATCTGATTCTACTGTTCAGCAACATTGTCACTGAATTTCAGAACTCTGGCATGATATAATAATCAAGGATTTCGAAGGCAAAACCTTTTCTCGCCCATGGGCGAAATATTTCAATAAATCTGTAAAATAGCTGAATTGAGTAAAATTGAGTTACATTATGTGCCATGAAAATAGTAAGAACACCTGCATGTATTTGCATGTAGTTTTAAGTAAAGGAAAATATTCTCGCCCATGGGCCAAACCCTTTTCTCGCCCATGGGCGAAATATTTCAATATCGCTATAAAATCGTTGAATTAAGTTAAAATGAGTTAAATTTTGTGTCATGATACTTAAATAAATACATTTAATGTATTCGCGAAACAAAAACATGAGTTTTAAGTAAAGGAACATATTCTCGCCCATGGGCCTACCCATGGGCCAGACTTCGCCCATGGGCAGGCCCATGGGCCACATTTCGCCCATGGGCGACATAGTCTAAATATTGCGTTTTTGAACATTTTTTTTTTCATTTTTTCATTAAATTTTGTGTCATGATGCTTCAATGAATACATTTAATGTATTTGCGAAACAAAATCATGAGTTTTAAGTAAAGGAACATATTCTCGCCCATGGGCCAAACCTTTTTCTCGCCCATGGGCGAAATATTTCAATATCGCTATAAAATCGTTGAATTGAGTTAAAATGAGTTAAATTTTGTGTCATGATACTTGAATGAATACATTAAATGTATTTGCGAAACAAAAACATGAGTTTTAAGTAAAGGAACATATTCTCGCCCATGGGCCTACTCATGGGCCAGACTTCGCCCATGGGCAGGCCCATGGGCCGACATAGTCTAAATATTGAGTTTTTAAACAATTTTTTTTTCATTTTTTCTTCCTTGGTATGTTCCCATTAAAAACGGCATGTTTAATTTTGTAAATACCTTTAACCGAGACTGGGCAAAGAGCGTAGAGTTTCTGGACTTTTGGGTTTCCAGAATTAAAATGGGACGTGTTGGTCACTTGTTTTTACAGATGAATCGAGGTTCAACATTTCCCACAGTGACGGGCGCCAACTTGTCTACCGGCGTTTGGGAGAACGTTATGCACGCACCTGTATTGTGGAGAGGAATCGTTTTGGAGGTGGCTCTGTGATGATTTGGGGTGGGATAACAGCACGGCACCGAAACCCTTTGGTGGTTGTTCAGGGCAATCTCACCGGTGTTGGCTACAGAGATCAGATTCTGAGGCCTGTGGTCATTCCTTTCCTGCAACGTCATGGCCCGGGATTGACATTTCAAGAGGACAACGCTCGTCCTCACACGACTAGGGTCGCAATGGATTTCCTTCACCATAACAATGTCATGTAACTGCCATGGCCTGCAGTTTCTCCAGATCTCTCCCTAATAGAGCATGTGTGGGATGACATGGAGCGCCGTCTGCGTCGTCTTCCACATCCTCCAGATAACGTCCGTGACTTGGCACAGGATTTGAGGAGGATAAGGCAGGCCATTCCCCAGGCCTTCCATGCCCATTTGGTGGACTCCATGCGTCGCCGATGCACTGCTGTGATTCACGCACAGGGTGGTCATACCCGTTATTGACTTTGTGACTTTGCCGTTTGACCCCCTACTCCATTTTGATCTTCTGACGTCATCGTAACAGATGTTGTTCAGGTCCCGTTGACATTTTCTAATGGTCCGATCATTCAGCTGCTACAGCGTCTGCATCATTTTGTTCTTGCTGTGTTGTATTTCAATCCAGAATATATTTTCTCCGTGCACAGTTTCTTTATGTGGCTAGTATACATAATAAACGTGCTACTGACCAATACGACATCGTCTTTTGTTGGTTGCCCAGCCATGTTGGGAGCATTGGTAACACTTTGGCTGATGCTGCAGGTGAAGCAGCTTTCAACAAATCTGTGACACCACTTCTTATCCCATACAGATATTAGATATTTCATCAAAGACGTAATACAAAAGAAGCAAGACACCCAGGTAGGTATAATTAAATTACATGCAATAAAACCAAATATAGGTTACACCTACTTTGGATGTCAGTCCAGATTTGAAGAGGTCATTTTAAGACGAAGTCGTATTGGCCATTCCCGATACACTCATGAATATTAATGAAAGGTGAGGATCCTCCGTTTTGCATCCCTTGTGATGAAAGAATCACGGTTTAAGCATGTCCTGCTTGATTGTATTGATTTTACCATACCTATTTCAAATCATCATCTCTTAGGGATATTTTATTAGTATTAGTTCTCATTTGATTATAGGATTTTTAATCTGTAACTTATATGGTTAGTGGCTGTATCCTCAAAGGGGGTTGAAGTAGCATACAAATATTGTCCCCCTGAGAGGATATGTAAGCGAAAGTACGTTTATTCAAGCACAATATTTTTACGTAGTATATTTGTTTATTTTAACTGATGGCTAAAACGCGTACAATCGCCAGCCACTGAAGGTATGGTGTAAATCCTGCTTGGGTCCATACAGGTAGCAAAGGTACTGTAAGTCCCCATGATCCCCAGTATGGTGATCTACGTTCAGTTGCTGGCGATCTATAGCCCTTTTATATTGTGTTGTTACATTTAGTGGTATCTTTTTATGTATGCTAGTTTTAAATATTAATCTGTGATATTCTAGTTATTTTACTATCAATCGATGACAGGTTTTTATTTAGTCAAAATATATGTATTAATAATGTATAACTTCTCGTCACGATATGGCTGAAATATTGCCTATGTGACGTAAAACATTAACTCACTCACCACAAATATAACATATATTTCCAGTGTTTGGACATCTCTGTTAAAAGAAGTTTTCAAAGACAACGCACCCACTTCCTGCCATTTATGAACTTTACAGCGCAGCACCCCCAAAAAACCAGTAGGCTGCACATATATACAACGTTTTCACACTCGTAAATCAATTGAATGATGACACAATCTCACCAATTTAATAATTTTGTTTTATGACTCTTATGAATGTACGAGTGATCGCCACCATGAAACTAGTAAAACCGAAAGTAGGCTGACTCAGAGTATTGGACAAAATCCTTTTGAAAATACCTTTGATTGTTAATAGCTTACATATTGTATCCTATTCGTTAAAGTATAGCATTCCTTATATCCTATTCGTTAAAGTATAGCATTCCTTAAGTGAGAAACTTCATCCATTGGATATTTGCTACTAAATGTGGTCACCGTAGATATAGTTATCTGTATTCAGAGGTTCAGCATAAATTGTTCAAAATTAGGTTTACTGAGAAAACAATATGTGAAATGGTGTTTTTCTCATTGGTAACATCTATGTAAAATGTTGGGGAAAGAAATGGTCATCTCCAATGACACCAATTGTACTCCTCTTCTTGCTACACTGTTAGGGGGAAAAAGAAGTGTATCATAAGCTTAAGGTATACCGTTGATCTGATATCGTTTAATAATTGTCCAATAGCCAATTACCTTCCACTGATTTACCCACCTGAACTAGAGAAAAAGACACCAGTGAAACCGCCTCACGTGTTTCGTATTAAGATCTATGCACACAGGGGGGCACGGGTGGCCCAGTCGTCTAAGGCGCCGCGATTCGCTGTGCAGAGTTGCGTCCCTTGGGCACGCCAGAAACCTATGATTGTGGGTTCGAATCCCGGTTCGCCCCAATTATGTTTCTAGGTTTGTCAGCACCATACCCGTGCTCGTGGGTTTCACCGAAGTGGTAAACATCTGAGACCTGCATCACTTCGGGCTTTCCTCCCACATTAAGCTGACACGCCGTGATATAACTGGAATACTGTTAAAAGCGGCGTAAAACCCAACTTACTCACTCACTCACTATGCACACAGATTCAGAGTGACAAAAAAGTATCCACAACACTGTGAGTGTTCTTTTGGAAACGAACCTTGGTTTACTGATTGTGATGTGACATATTCCTCGTAGTTATCGCACGAATGAAGCATTGTTTGCGTGAGAATATGAATTCCCTTTTCTCGCTGTTCCGTTTCTACATTCCATGAGGAATGTTGGTCATCGGTCCATGGTCATGCATCCAGGTGTGGTCAGTCAAGCATTTCGTACAGTTAGCTATTTAAATATATGCATGGCTAGTTGTGGTATTGTGTATGCCATATACAAGTTCATATCCTGAAAGTATTATGTTTATTCGTTCAAATAATAGTGAGTAATTCAGATAAATTCTTCAACAGAGCTATGGCGGATGAGGAGAAAGAAACTTGTTTGTCCGAGCTTGGCACCAAAGGGAAGGTAAGACAATGTTAACCTCTAATACACTCAGCTGTCTTCATTTTGTATGAAATATAAAGGGGGAATACAAATAATTGTATCAATGATTAGTTGAATATCTGTTCTAATCACGCGACTCAATGAAATAAATGTTGCCTTTGTCAACCACCACTAAAACGTCAGTAAAGTAAATCATATGACAAACCCTCTTTTCAGGTACATAATTCACGTAGAATTGAAAAACCAGTGAATGTAAGGAAACCACAATGGTCCAACAAGTTTCAAGGTATCATTGCTGTTCTTGGATTCTCAGTGGGACTTGGTAACCTGTGGAGGTTCCCTTACGTCTGTCAAAAGAATGGAGGTGGTATGTATTTAGTTATTTTATCAATTTGTTGTGTCATTTGCAGTCATATTCCGTTTAAGTTTATATTATCATCCTCATCATCATATATTTTATCCTCGTCATCAATCATAATCATCATCATCATTAGCTAATGTGATTAGATTATTTGTGGTAGGCTTCAACAAGAAATTGGGGTTACCTACCTGAGTTGTTGTTGATATGGAAGGACTATCTGGTTCGAGATGTTTCACGGGGTAACAGTTTCTAGAAGGCTGGCTGTTCTTATATACAAGCAATAAGAGGGTGTTATAAAGTTGGACGCCCTCTACGACTAGATCTGATTGCTCAGTGCGGGCGGGTTGCCTATCGGGAACCACCGACTTATTGCCTGCATCCAACACTGTTTCTTGGACTCAAGAACGGAGCACATGTACCATTCAAATCATTCGACTGTGACAAATACTAGACATTCGTGCGTCCACTGACTTGCGTAATAGAGACAACCATGATACGATCGCCCCCATACCGATTATGGTCACGAATTGTTGCCGCTACGCCACAACACAACGATTTCTGACATCAAAAGCCTGATTCGTCTCTGTAAGGCCATTGGCGCACAGCTCGTTGCTGGTGTTGCCTAGCACACCCCAATCTTTGCCGCCTATGGTTATCTCGGGTACTCCCTTCTTAGGACGCCTTGCTTTTGGGCTGGCTGCACAGAGCCGGTTTTAACGGTAGATGTTGAAATCGCCTTCCTGTTATTTTGTACGAAAGTCTCTATTAATAACAGTCGCAGATTTGCCTCGATTGCATAGTGCAATTAATGAAATGAGAGCACCTTGTCTTGGTGTCGTTTTTAGACCTGCCACGCTCACGCTCAACTCCAACCATGTAATATTATTTGTTCCACAGTCGAGAAATTACACTCTTTGATTTGCTGATATACTTTGGATATTGACGAACGGTATTGTAAATGTACACCTCAACGGTAGCTACATTCAGATCATTAGTTCCCTTATTTGTTGTCAGTGGTATATTTATTTTAATGTCTATTTATTTCAAAACCAAGACCTCGGGAGGTGGGAGCAGTTATTTAATACAGGCTTCACCCTATGATCAATGGTATACTTAACCTTTTCGCTAACCATCTGTGTCTTCACAGGGGCGTTTCTGATACCATACTTCATCTCTACAACTGTGTTAGCAATCCCTCTCTTCATTCTGGAAGTTGCTGTCGGTCAGTTTTCTGCTAAGGGACCAATTAAGGTTTGGGCGATGTGTCCAATCCTGAAAGGTAAGGACATAAATGTCTATCTATACATAATTCATTGACTAAAGTGTGGATGGCACACTTATGCTTTTGAAAATTTTAAACCAGTATATAGTTTATTCTGAATATCCTCTAACACTACCAACATAGCGGGGGCACGGGTGGCCCAGTCGTCTAAGGCGCCGCGATTCGCTGCGCAGAGTTGCGTCCCTTGGGCACGCCAGAAACCTATGATTGTGGGTTCGAATCCCGGTTCGCCCCGATTATGTTTCTAGGTTTGTCAGCACCATACCCGTGCTCGTGGGTTTCACCGAAGTGGTAAACGTCTGAGACCTGCATCACTTCGGGCTTTCCTCCCACATTAAGCTGACACGCCGTGATATAACTGGAATACTGTTAAAAGCGGCGTCAAACCCAACTCACTCACTCACTCACTCACCAACATAGCCTACGATATACGAGTAATCACTGATTATCTGTACTGTGAGCATGAAGTCTGTGAGTCCCAATTACTTGATGTTATGCCTACCCATGGTACCAGTGAACATACAATCGAGACAAATTACTTTTAGTATGTGTAGGTATAGCAGAAATTTAGTTTTTCAAATATATTCAAGTGTACAGTAGTGTAGTTACTTTATTAGCGATAGTTACGGGAATAATTATATGTATCATCGTTGTTGTGGGTACATCTATTTCGGGCACACATTATTGTGGTATTCCATCTCAATTACAAACGTCGGGTTGCGAACAATCATGTGATTATATGGATATATACATTATATGATTATTTGAACATTTCTAGGTGTTGGTTTTTGCATACTGTCTATCAGTTGCATCATCGTCCCGTACTACAGCATGGTGTTTGCCTGGGCCCTCTACTACCTGTACAGCTCCTTCTCTACCGTCCTGCCCTGGACCACTTGTGACAACTCATGGAACACACCGCCTTGTATTGCTGTAGGAGAAAAGAGAATAAACACTTCTATATTAACTAACACCACACCCATAGAGGCTATCACCATTTCACATTATCCAAATGAAAACACCGGATATGAACACATTAACCGAACACAAGAAACTACCAGTGTTCTGGGACATACATCAACAGAGGAGTTTTGGCAGTGAGTGTTCTTTTGAAATGACATGCGTTTACATAACAATAAATAATTACAGCAAAGCTAAGGTTACGATCAAGTTTTACAGGGGATTATCCAAATATAAAACTACTGTGTGTGTAATTTACCCTTTTGTTTAAGCATAGTCAGCATGCATCATTGAGATGGCAAAAAATATTTGCATAAAGCATCCAACCTTTTAGGTTAGACACGTTGTCCAAAGTATTATCTTATAAGGGTACCGTTGTACAAAGCAACCTTAGCGCTACGACTGTCGCAAGTCTATGTGAAGGTATGGGAGTTACGATCACCTTAGCGCTAAGATCCCTTTGTACAACGGCACCCAGAACGATAATAAGGATTGTAATCTTTATTCTGTTGTGAAATATTTGTATTGACAAACCATGAATCATTATCTGGTATAACCCGTATGATAATGGTGAAGAGAGGCTTTAAGGTGACCTGTAGATACAGTTCTCATATCATCTCGGATCATTCGCATCATCCTCTATGCTCTATTAAGCACCATACATCCTCAGGTACAAAGTTTTAGGTGTTTCGTCCGGGATAGATGACCTGGGCTTTATGCAACCACATCTCGTCATCTGCTGGTTCATCACGTGTGTTGCCGTCTTTCTTTGCATCATGAAAGGAATCAAATCCTTGGGAAAGGTAACATTCATTTGGCGCAATGGCATTTTAAACCTCCTCTTTTTGAGACATTTAATCATGTCTCTGTCTTCCATGGCATCCATAATCCATACAGTCCAATCCTCGTAGGTCCGTTTCTTGGAAAAAATGCAAACAGAATATTATGTGGTTGCAATGTTGAACCTTGCTGATTATGTCCCATTGTTCCAGGACGTCGTGAAGTGTTAGTTATGGTACGAACCAATGGAACTGTAACAATCTTGGTTGCATATAGTGGCCGTGGTGACTGCGGCGTAAAATATCAATCCCCGTTACAATCATCTATAAAAAAAGTATTGTCTTTGCCAAGAGTACTGTGCTGAGGTTGTGTCTGTATCTGTGAACAGGTTGTGTATGTGACAGCGTTGATGCCATACGCCCTACTGTTGGTGCTGTTGGTGAGGTCGTGCATGATGCCTGGTGCCGTGGATGGGATTCTCTTCTACCTGACCCCAGATTTCAGCCACCTACAGCACCCTCAGGTGTGTAGTCGCACCTAAACGATCATGGTTAATTATATGGTTAATTTTAGATTCTAATCCTGTGAATGTTTCAAATGTAGCTGGCATCTCTATTAAATTTTGAAAATTATCTCATACCCTTATTCAAATAAGTATTCCTTATGTGGTCATATGTTTTGATACATGCTGGTTGATGGTGTCCTTACTTAATGACTGTATATAACCACCTTGTACCTCATGCATGTACACCATTTTGAATACTTGTGTCTCTGTTTGTGTAGGTGTGGTTAGATGCTCTTGTTCAAGTATTCTTCTCTGTTGGTACGGCGTGGGGTACCCTTATTGTCATGGCAAGCCACAATTCTTTTCATTCAAATCTTATACGGTATGTGTATGCTTGTAGTCAACGGAATGGCATCAGAATCTCAGCTCATGTGAATTGCTTTTCCGATTTCATTGGACTCCATTTGACTCCAGTACCTGTTAAACTAACAGACATCAAAATAAATAATTAAAAAAAATATGTTTATGCAGGTAAAAACGGGTAACTTAAATAGCCGATACTCTTACGATTAGATACATCGAACCAAAGACTAATAATTTCGAGATAATTTCAATAATGTACCTCTGGTAATAGAATCTAACCTCCTGTACTGCTTGTTAACTCCACGTGATATTCATGTATCAGTAGCATTAAGTGACATGTGTATGTCCCAAACAATATATCAATAAATACCGTGGACAATTATATATACAGGGACTCCATCATCGTGACGGTGATTGGCGAGTTGACGAGTGTATTTGCTGGCTTCGTGGTTTTCGCAACAGTGGGCTTCCTGGCTCACGATTTACAGAAACCTGTAGCTGACGTCGTAACTTCAGGCGAGTGAACAATTAAAAACATTTTAAAAATGTGTTGTTCACACAAAATACAACTTTCCAATTAGATGTGACTATATATGACTGTTGATTATATTTTGAGGTCGTACGTCAAATTTCCTTTTTAGCGCAACAATTTTGCCTACCCTATCCGAATATTAAGAATCGAATGATTTCACACAAAGATAATTTGAGTTCTTAAGCAATTGTAATGTGGCATTGAATACGTAATCAAGACTGATCCAGATCATGAAACTCGACTTAGTATAGGAGTTTAAATTTGTGGAAATGGGCATATTGAAACACACCAGGACTGCACTCAATACACTTGTTTCGTTTTAAGGTTTTCACATCTGGTTGGTTGCAGGTCCTGGCATAGGTTTCATCGTCTACCCAGAAGCAGTTGCGCTACTTCCGCTTCCTCAGCTGTGGTCTATCTTCTTCTTCATAACGATGCTGATGATGGTTGTCGACTCAATGGTAACGATGACAACGTCTTTAAATGCAACTATCCTATTTCGTTATCAATATTAAAAACACAGACGACCCTTTCAGCAAATGCTTGCATTGGGTTCAGGTCGAATTAATGTTTTTACGTCGACATCTAATTGCGTTAAGAAAAAATGAGTCAACACGCCTTTAAGGGACTAACCATTTAATACCCTATTTTGTTTCAAGAGACATAATATTTAAGTATTTTCCTTTTGCATTATTTATGGACAGTTTGGATATGTGGAGACAGCTCTTGGTTGCATGGATGATCTCCTGCCACGGCGGTTTCACACACGGCATCTCCAGACAATCATGGCTGCTGTGTTTATGGGAGCTGTGTTCATTGCTGGCCTTGTTTTCACCACGCATGTAAGTTTTGTTGATTGTTATAAAACTTAGCCAAAAGATCCTTTACTTATTCATTTCAATTTGTCCTGTGGTACGTTCACCATGTGGTACATATCAAGTCTTATTAATAAATTAAATACAAGAAACATTTGTGAGCTAAATGTTTTTGAGGTATCAGCACTTTCCAAGCTAAAAGGAATATTCGTAACATTAACCATATTTGGGAGACAACATACATATTATCATTTATCAGGATATACTGTGTAAGTATATTTCCACTAATTTGTATATTATTTTCATCTATGTTTTGAACGTAATTTAATAACCAGTTTTATATCTTCATTAAACAAGTCATGGTAATACGAATATCTGCGTTAAAATTAACGCATGTGCCTAAACAGATGGCAAGAAATGTTTCTAGCCATGTGATTTATCGATGTATTTAGTTGTAGTTTTATGCCGTAGTCAGTATTAGTCGAGCTTTATATTACGGCGGCCTGTCATAATCGAGTTTGGGGGGCACGGGTGGCCAAGTCGTCTAAGGCGCCGCGACTCGCTGTGCAGAGTTGCGTCCCATAGGCACGCCAGAAACCTATGATTGTGGGTTCGAATCCCGGTTCGCTCCGATTATGTTTCTAGGTTTGTCAGCACTATACCCGTGCTCGTGGGTTTCACCGAAGTGGTAAACGTCTGAGACCTGCATCACTTCGGGCTTTCCTCACACATTAAGCTGACACGCCGCGATATAACTGGAATACTGTTAAAAGCGGCGTTAAACCAAACTCACTCACTCACTCACTCATAATCGAGTTTGATTCAGACAAACCAGTGGTTAATAATGTGAGCCAAGTCCCACGCCATTGGGATAATCTCTCAGACAATCAGCGACACTACTGAGCTTGACCACAGGGAGATCCAATTTGACCGTGCAGATTCCTGTGTTTTTAAAAAATATCTTTGTTCTATCACAATAAATAAAACTCATAATGAGAAGAATCTTACTTCGAAATAGTCCAAGAATTTCTCTTTCGAGTGAAAACGTTGATGGATATTTGGATGGATGACTACATTCCAGGGTGGAGTCTACGTGTTCCAGTTGGTCGACTGGTACATGGGTGCAGTAGCCTGTTTCGTCATCGCCATACTGGAATGTGTGGGTGTTGGTTGGTTCTACGGTAAATAAAAGCAACAAAACGTTTTCAATATTCATGAGAAATCTCGACTGTACGATTCCGACTGTATCATGAGCATGTCTATGAATCACTATCAAATAGTGATGACACCAGGTGTTTGCGAAAAGGTGATCGTATCCTGCCCAACCGGCGGCCACCGTCACAGACACAAAAATAGTCATGCAAGGACAATTCAATTGTTCGCCTAAAAAAACATGGGAACATATGGAAAAATGGAAAGGGATTTGCATCTAACATTATGTTTGTCCCTGATGCGTCAAATTTGAAAATGTCCTCCACATGTCTACCATAGAACTGTTCAAAAGCTATACAGAGGCCTTAAATGGTGTAACCTTGATCAAGCAACTTTTGAGCAAGAGATGTATGACGCTCTTTTAATCTTGGTAGAAAGAGCATGCTCGATTGCAAAAAAGTTTGTGATATGTACACATGTTGTATTGGAAATACTTATGATTTAAACTCTATATGTGTATATATGAACCGTGACACTACTTCTGTAAAGTAAATGTCAATATTTCTGTTAACAGGTATATAACTGCTGACGGGATGCATATGATTCTGTATTCTGTACATGTAATTTCTATTATTTTTATATGGCTTCTTATACCATTTCCGTATAAAGGTTTGTTTTTACTATTTCTGTATAAGCACCTGACTCTATTTACCTTGATTCTTTTTATGTTTGCATTTGTCAGGCGCTGGGCGTTTCTCTGCTGATGTTGAGAGCATGGTTGGAAAACGCCTCCCTGTAATCTACAAATTAGTGTGCTTCATCCTTCTCCCCATCCTCTTGTTTGTAAGTATTCTGAAGTGAGGTGAGGTGAGGTGAGGTGAGGTAAGGTGAGGTGAATGAGTTTTAACGTCGCTTTCAAAACGTGCATGAACGTCCTCTTATTTGTAAGTATTCTGATGTGATGTGAGGTGAGGTGGGGTGAATGAGTTTTAACGTTTCCTTCAAAACGTGCATGCACATGAGCGTGTGTCCGCTTGTACTTATGCCAGTTTTATTGATCTAGGTATGACCCACTAACACATCGTAACAAGGATAACACTCAGACACATTATACATTGTTATACCGTGCCAACTAGTCCTTTCCTAATAGCAAGTACCATATTTCAATTCCCGTTGGTATGATGCGGCCAGGGGATCGAAGCACCGACCTTCCGTCGTAGATAGTAACATGTGAGGCCATGTCGTTGGCTGATATGTCATCACCTGCATGTCTCATTTCTCATGTCGACCTTACTGAACGCAGTCAGAGATCTCATTACGAAACAGGGCTCAAATCTCCAGAAACATTCTTTATGGGAAATCAAAGCATAAATATCGATATAAATTCCTGTCATATGTCATAGTTGTGTCAAAGGTCATTGTTACTTTTGTCAAATTGCAGCTTATTCATATTGTGGTATGGAGACTTCATATTTGTAACACCACCCAGGTTTTTAGATAGAAATGTGATTAGAAACCGTTGTTAGAATGTGTATATGTGATTGGAGACTTAGTCAAGAATCACGCCATGTATATTAGGAGTCAAAACAACATCTTTACACACTGGCTGGAATGCTTATGGTTGATTGTGTTATGACACTTTATATATTTTATCTCTCCGTCGGCGTCTGGCCTCTTTTGGAGATCTGGATCACAAGAGATCACATTCTGAACCATGACTAGTACCCAGGTATATTCGTCAGAAACAACCTGTTTTCGAACAGGCAAGATTTATTGCCTACTGAATGCAATTTTGTAACTAGACATGTTCTCGCATCTTTTTGGCGAATGTTAAGGTCACAGCTTGCATCCACAATTCTTGAGTCTTTGGATTCATGATTAAGTATAGATTAGAATTACCCTCTCATGAAAACGAAATTAATAACATTACATCATAAACACTTTCTGATGGCGTCAAGTTCAAAAGACAAAACCAAAGTCACACTGAAAAACTTCTTGACGTTATTATTCTGGCAAAGCATAATACATATATCCATAATACAAATGCTATGGAGATTGTACATTTTTTACACCAGATATGGGTGCAACTTGAAATTTTCTAGCAGCACATAGTCATGGCAATGAAACCAGACATGCGTATAACAACTTGATTCAGGTTGCCAGAGGACATGCGACCTTCTTTTTTATAGTTGTCCTGCAATTTGTGCATACTATCCTTTTGCCGAGGTGACTTGTCCGGAAGGGACAAGTTTTTCGTGAGCAAAATACCGTGAGCAGCCTTCTACCAATTGGGATCACAACTTTAAAATCATTATGCATGCTGTCGAAGAATATACCAAAAAATAGGCCAAAAGAGGATAGGAACCTGTTGAATGTCCTTCAGAGTGGGTTTCAGTGCATGATGTCATTGATAGAATGCACAAACTTAAAAAGAGGAAACGGAATTGGAATAAACCCATGCTGTCCAAGCCAGCTGTCATCTAAAGTCTGGCTGCACAGTTACGTATCTATATTCAGAGGTTTGGGACAATTTGTCTGAGAAAACAAATATGTGAATAGCTTGATTCTCTTATTAATAACATGTACATAAAATTTGGGGTTTAGACATTTAGGCAAGAAGAAGCTTGCCTGTTAGCACCAACTGTGCTCCCCTTCTTACGGATCTGTTTCTTTATGCATGTGAATCATCATTTCCGCTCGGATTGGCAAAGACAAAACAAAGTAATTTGGCCTATAAGTTTAACTTAAGCTTCAGCTATATCGATGATCTGATATCGTTCAATAACATCAAATAGCCAATTCCCTTCCACTGCTGTAACCACCGGAACTAGAAATAAAGGAGACCAGTGAGACCGCCTCATCTGTTTCATATTTAGATCTATGCATAAGGATTTAGAGGGACAAAACACTCTCGACAAAACTGTATGAGGAGAGGTATGACTTCAACTTTCCAATAGTTAGCTTTCCCTTCATGTCGAGCAATATTCCTGTAGCTCCAGATCTGTCCGATCTTTGTCACTTGTTCCAGTTGTTCCATATGTTCCCGTGTTATTTAGGTGAACAATTAACTTGCCTTTGCATGTCTTTGTGACGGGTGCCGACCATAGGGCAGGATACACTCACCTATTCGCCAACACCTCGAATAGTGATGATACCAAACATCGTACTATCGAATCTGCTTTTTGCAGAGATTTCTATGGGATATTGAAATAGTTTTGTCGCTTTATTTATATCATTAAAGAAGCTAAAATAGGACACTTTCTTTTCTTAAAGATGTAGACCACAGGAGTGAGTGAGTGAGTGAGTGACTGAGTGTGTGAATGGGTGAGTGGTACACTACTTTGATAAGAATATATATGTTAGTTATATGATGGTGTGTGGATGGTGGGAGGAAAGCACTAAGTGATGTTACGATGAGACCTTAATCACTTTTATAACACCGTGGACCGAATACAAATACAAAATACAAATACATTCAACCTTAATCAGGGCGAATCTGACATTTGAACCCACGATAATCGAATCCTGGCACTACCAAGTGATGCCACACTGAAAGGCGAATCTATTGTGTAGGACGTGCACTGTAGGTGGTAACTTACACATATCTTTTCAGGTTGCTTTGGTTTTTACTCTGGCTTTTTACAAGCCGCCAACATATGGCGAGTACCACTACCCTGGGTCTGCCGTCATCTTCGGCTGGTTTATTGCCCTCGTGTCCGTTGTTCCTATCCCAGTTACCATGGTGATACAAATACTGAAGATGGAAGGGTCCTTGTCTCAGGTTGGTATGCCATATCAGTATGTCCTACAATTGTAACGTAATGGAGGTTGAACGCTCTGGCTTATTTTTCTCTGATGATAGAGTACAAACTGAACCCATTTGTCTTTGCATGTGAAGTTGTAGGTGCATGTCCTATATGTGATCTGTTCTGTTACCTTTGGTTGTACAATCTGTCATGTTTCAGCGTGTGAGAGCAGCCATGACGCCCACGCCTACATGGCAAAGACACAGAAAGCGACATGGAGTGGAGGACAAACTAGAAAACAGATCTTTGAAGGACAACTTCCTGTTTATGATCGGACGATAATTACACTTGCACATGACGAGGGATCAGTACCGGATGTAATCTTTACGTTGTCCGGAAAATCAACGGGCAGACCACTTCAAACTTCACTTATTTCTCAAATGAAGCATTATGCAGTAAAACTATATGCAGCTTACAAAAGCACATGCAACAATACACTTGCAAGGGTGTCAGTAGAAATGTGAAGCGATAGCTATGGTACACCCGCTAAAGAGCTGGACACTTCCGGTACGAACACGTTTTGCGAGCTTTGTCAATATATTTTGTTTGCATTTCCTTTACTGGGAACTGCAAGCTGTACCAGAAGGAGAGCACAATTGCTGTCACGTTTATATACAACTGTCTGTCTTCCTCTTTCACTTTACTATAAGGATACCGTAGGATAAGGATAAGGATATTTAGATCTGTGCATACAGATTCAGAGTGACGAAACACTCTCCACAAGACTGTATGACAAGAGGGGTGGCATCTACTTTCCAATAGTCAGCGTTCCCTTTATGTCGAGCAATATTCCTGCAGCTCCAGCCCTTGGTGAAAAAAAATGACACGGCGGAAAAAAAAGATGTGAGGGGGGAGGGGCGGGGCGGGACATGAAAAACTGAAACATTTCTATTTCTATATTTTGTTTCAAGTATGTCAGCATAACCTGTGTTGATGTAATCTACTGATGTATCTGAAGGGAATAAAAACATCAATCCGTTCATTCATTAATTCATACTCTACATTTGTAATATTTGGCAAATAACGTTGGTGTGTGAAACGCCATTTTGGGAAAAATGTGGTGTTGTTGAAGGAAATCTGAAGATGGGTTGGTTGGTAAGTTTGTTGTTTAACGCCGCACTCAGCAATTTTCCAGCTATATGACGGGTCTGGACCAGACAATCCAGTGATTAATATCATGAGCATCGATCCACGCAATTGGGATCGATGCCATGCATCAACCAAGTCAGAGAGCCTGACCACCCGATCCCGTTAGTCGCCTTTTACGACAAGCATAGCCGACTTTTACGGCAAGCATGGGTTGCTGAAGACCTACTCCACCCCGGATCTTCACGGGTCCCTGAAGATGGAAGCCTAAAGCCCACAAGCACGGGTTGGTACTCCCAAACTAAGAATCATGATCAGGAATCTAATCATAGTATCCGTTTCCGATTGAGGGACACAACTCTGCATATCGAATCGTTGCGCCTTAGACGGCCGCCCTCATCTCCACCTTTTTTTAGGGAGATTTGATTGATTGATTGATTGATTGATTGATTGATTGAGCATGGTTTAACACCACTTTTAGCGATAATCCAGCAATATCACTGCGGGGGACACCAGAGATGGGCTTCTCACATTTTACCTACTTGGGATATCGAACCCGGGTCTTCGGCATGACGAGCAAACGCTTTAACCACAAGGCTACCCCACCGCCACTGATATGTTTGAGAAGCATATTAGATATTTCATTGCATGTCAGCTTGTGTGAAGGAATTCCAGTGTACTGCACTTTTCCACATTGGTAAAAGCGGAGTACTTGTACATGTACGATTCCGACTGGATCATGAACATGTGTTGATGAATCACTATGAAATGGCGATGACACCAGGCGACCACGAAAAGGGTTAGCATATCCTACTTACTTAATTAAACTGGGTGACATTGCCTGAGTGAAAACATTAGTAAGTAGCAAGCACTCGCAATGAAGTAATTAATAATCCATGGCTGTTCGTGGACCATTATCACATACCTGTGTACGCTGAGTAATTGTTAACGCGCGCTTTATCGACGCAATACATCTTAATGTTGTTTTAAGAATGGCTTAGAGTGAGAATTATATAAAGGCTGTTGATGTGATTGGGGACATGGATTGTTGATTAAATTAATAAACAGCTGTGATATGAACAAATATCTTTCCTTGAGCAAACTAGTGAGTGAGGTAAATTTTAAGTCACGTTGGCAAGTTATACAATTTTTTTCAAAAAGAAAACGTAGGACAGTATAACAGCTAGCAATATATCACTGTTTGACTTAAAACTAGTTGTAGAAATATCTGATTATTGGAGCAACGGCACGAAATAAAATAGGATTATAGATCCCGAGCAACAAAGGTAAGATCAACAAACTAGGGACCAAGGGGACTTACGGTACCCCTTGCTTCCTGCATGGTTCCCCAGCAGGATATACACCTTCCCTTTGTTACAGGCGATTTTGCAAGTTAAGCCAGAAATACCCTGCAGTTAAAATAAATATAAATATAGGTAGATATTAATATACTTTGAATGAGGTGGTCTTACAATAATTTTATGCTATTTCAACCCCTGTAGAAGGCATAGTCACGAACAATCTCAGCTATAATCATGCACCACCGATGTATAAAATACATAACTTATCACATCCAAATGTGTGAATTAGTTCTCTGGGTAAAGCTGAACTGGAATTAACGTTTACACTGCAATTTTTATCCCTTGTAATGGAAAAATCAATACAGTGAAGCAGGACATGCCTGACCTTGATTCTGGCAGCACAAGGGATGCAAAACGAATCATCCTCACCTTTCAATAAATATTCATTGGTATATCTGCTGTGGCCAATACCACCTCGTCGAATAATGACCTCTTCAAATTTGTAATGACAACCGAAGTAGGTGTAACCAATATTTGGTTTAATTTCATGTAATATATTAATACCTACTTGGGTGTCCCACTTCTTTTGCATCAGAGCTCTGATGTGACATGTGATCTCAGGTTTATACACGCTGTATGGAAATTGAAGTGGTGTCACAGATTGTGTTGAGTCCTGCTTTGGCTGCAGCATCGGGTAACCAACAACTATGTCGTACTGGCCAGTAGCAAAATCATTATGTGGTTCTATAATGGCATGTAAAAGTATTTGTTGACAGGAAAAATTCTCAATGGCTTGAAGACAAGAAAGGGAATCAGAAAACAACAACTAATGAACTGTTTATATTTTTGTAACTATACTCACACGTAAAAGAAACGCAAGTCGAGTATGCAGTATACATGTTATTTATTTTCAACAGTAAAGACAAGAAATACTAATAGGGCAAGGCTGACAAAAATTTGACTGAAGACAGTTTAATGGATTTAAAGGCAGATGACATAATTGTTTTTTTCAAATGTTAAGGGCTTACACAATTTCGGGTCAATACCCAAAATGTCAGTCAATACCTGGTGTGACCACCATTAGCATTGATCACTGCCACACATCTCCTGTACATTGAGTGGATCAGACGATTTGTGAAGGCCCTAGGGATCCTCCTGCACACATCAAGAGCAGCTGTAGTTCATCGGCAGTTGTAGGGACTGGGCGCACATTGTGCACACGCCTTTGAACCTCATCCCACAAGTGTTCGATGGGGTTCAGATCAGGGCTGAGGGCTGGCCACGGTACGTAGAACACGGATGTTGTGTTGTTGTAAACAGGCCATAGTAGCTCTGGCAACATGGGGACGAGCGTTGTCCTGCTGGAAAATGTGTTGTTGATTTTGTGCAAAAAATGGAACAACGTGGTCTCTGATAACTTGGTCGATATACCGCTGAGCAGTGACGCCGTGACCCCGACCTTGACCAACATTCAGAAAGCACATGGGTCCAAGTCTCGCATTAAGTCCAATCCCTGCCCATATCATGACGCTAGGTCCACCCCATGGATCCCTTTCAACAACGTTTCTGTCAGCGAAACGATCACCTCGACGCCGCCAAATTCGGACTCTTCCGTCTGCATGGTAGACACAAAAGCGAATTTCATCAGAGAAGATGACACGCCTCCACCCACGATGACGCCAATTGTGATGACCCTGTGCCCACTGAAGTCGTGCTTGTCGATGCCGTGGTTGGAGAACAGGGCGGCGTGCTGGTCGGCGACATCTGAGGTTGTTGGAACAGAGACATCGGATCACAATGTCCCAGCTAATGTGTCGATTATGTGTTCATATGGTCTGTCGAGCACTTTCACTTGCAGTTAGGAACGAATGACGGGTAATCTGCCGATCTTGTCGAGGTGTGGTGACCCTAAGACGACCGCTCCGAGGAAGGTCATCTGTGGTCTGTGTAGCATTGTATCGATGCAGGAGACGGTAAATTGTGGTTATGTTAACGTTGAAATGACGGGCAACATCTTGGACAGACTCTCCAGCTTCAAAACGTCCGATAGCCTCGTTTCTCTGAATTTGAGTGAGGCGGGGCATTGTTGACCAAGGAGTGGTAGGTCCAAGAATCGGCCACTGTTTTATACCCAGTACAGTTGGTGCATTTACGATTTCGCGAGAAATGGGTGCATGATAGCCACATATTTATTGAAATGGTGCGTTTTGGCGATTCGTTTTTTATGTTGCGTTTTTACTCAGGGCTGCCAAAATGCAACCAAAAATATTGATAAAACCATCAGGCTTCACTACATGCTAAAACTCGTATCAATTTATGGTTCCGTGTTTGTTACCTATTTGCTTAAAACCATTTGCGTTTCTTTTGAGTGTGAGTATAGATTTGTATATATCGTAAATATGGTATCGTGGTACCTAGCATGTAATGGTTGACCAGGGATCAGCAAAAATACTAAGACTTCATCGCCGGGACTGACATTTCTCTCTTGAAACCTTTTGTAATAATGTAATTTCATGGGATTTCTTTAAGTTATCCCTTGTAGCCTCACAAGCTTTTGCAAGCCTAGTCCGAAATGATGAGAAATACTCCAACAAATTCATGTCAGACCTATCATTCAGCCAATGTTCTTTTAATACCCTTAAAGGTCCACGAACAGTGTGGTCAAAGAAAAGGTCAAAAGCACTAAAACCTAAGGACTCCTGAACTGACTCCCTCAAAGCAAACAACAAATGAATGCCTTCATCCCAATCCTTCTCAGTCTCAGAACAGTCTCCTTCTCATATACTTTAGAGTCCAAGGAAATCTCTCCAAAGCTTCTTGTGATTCAGGATGATATGGGCCAGATTTAATCTGAGTTATGCCTAAGTGGTGAATAGCCTGTTGGAAAACACCGGACAAGAAATTAGAGCCCTGATCCGACTGTACAGTCTTAGGCAAACCAACCATGGTGAAGAACTGTACGGATGCCTTGCTAATAACCTGAGCTGTAATTTTCCATAAAGGAATAGCCTCTGGAAACCTTGTTGAAGCACACATGATAGTAAGCATAAACTGATTTCCTGAATTAGTTTTATGCAAAGGACCAACACGATCAATGATGGACCTGCTAAAAGTTTCTTCAAAAGCTGGAATGGGTTTCAAATTTGCCGCTGGGAATTTCTGATCAGTGTAATGTTTTAAGCAGCCGACCGGCTGTGTCACACTGGATGATAAACGTTTGAAGACATAGTAGCGTGGACCATGCTTAATTTTATTTTCTCGCTTCCATTCCTCAAGGGGCATAACTCTCATGCCTCATTACACCAAACATACTGCTAAAATACATACCGCACTGTGATATACTCATGTGCTAACATGTGTACACAACAATTGCTAACCATTTGACACAAATGGCAACCTTTGCAAAATTTTACCACATCATTCCGGAAATTAGGCCAAAAGTGATTGGACAGAATTTATCACATGTTTTCTTCACACCCAAATGTGCCTGCCAAAGGCTTTTCATGTGCCAAACTCAAGTCATGGTTTCGATATGAGTTTTGAAGAACAACCTTCCATTCATTATCAGCAGGTACATCTGGCGGCCTCAAGTTTCTCATCAAAACGGTATCTTTAATTTGTAATAATAGCAAACTGGAACCTGTCAGCTTCTTTGAATTCTGCGTCCTTCCCCTGTAACTTAACTAACTGCTCCCTACCCAGAACTGGTTCCTTATTGCTCTCCCTCGAAATATAGACAGGTCAATAGAATGAACCACTAAAATGTCAGACAAATCATAACTGGAATCATTCTCAGATAAAACTTTGCTTAGCCATAGCACGAGTAACAACACACAAAGGAAAGATACCTGGAATTTCCTTTCAAGATGTTTAGCACTTTTCGAAGAGCTAGGCTCAAGACAAACACCGGGATCAGTTAAATATCTTTACATTTTGTCAACAAACTCAGAACCAGATTTGTAAGAACTAAATCTAGGAGGGGATAAACTATCCTTCCCTGTCTGTAAATACTGACTGCTTAAAACTAAACCTGTGAGTAAGCGAATAATAATCAGCCAAAGAAGCAGGCTTGTAAAACTGATCCACTTACCGATATGTCCGGACACACATTGCCTGAAATACTCCATCTAAACCGACTGTCTCAAACTATAAAAGTCACACTTGGCCTCCTTTGAAGCACACCACATATCAAACAGTTACCTGTAAGCTTCAGGAACCTATTCATAAGCCTTACTCCTATCAATAGGTAATGAAGAATAATCTTTCTGAACTTTTCCCTTGAACACATTTTGGAACAACATGGTCCACTGATCTTGCGGCCATTTCAAACTGTAAGCCACAGAATGTGTTTTCAGAATGTAGGAAACACATGCCAACATCACGTTCAGAGAATGGCTGAACAAGTCTATTCTACTTGGACAGATCAAACAATTCATCACCTGTTGAGGTTTGGGAGAGAGATCATTCTCTCAAGTTATTTCAGCCTAAATACTTTATCAACTTCCATTTGATGAATCCGAAATTCCCGCTCTTCTTTAAGCCGAATTTCTTTTTCCATAGCCAATTTTTTTCTCCAAAATATCTTCCTCAACCAGGAAAGGTATCACATTTTTTTACATCAGCCTAAAGCATACCCGATTTGATGTCGAGTATGTAATGTTCCGCTAATTCGACCAGTTCAGACTTTTTAAGCACAGAGACCTTTTCCGTCGAAGGCTGGCTAACAAACACCTCTTCATAGTGATTGTTGACGTCACGCAATATCAGACAATAAAATGTCTCTGGCAGTGATAGCAAACGTCAGTGATAATAATATATATTCACCCAGCGGCGACAGTGACCAGCTTCTGAGACGGGCTCAGGCAGGGATGTGAGTGATCCACACACGAAAGCTGGTCTTGATGTGAGTAAATGTGTGAGAGATACTTAAAAACGTTCTTGTCCCCTTACACATCTTGTCCCCTTGAGCGACACTAGAACGTTACAGAATATTCTGCATGAGTCCACGACCTTAAGGAAATTTACATATCACACCAGCAATTAAATATAGGAACATCCCGACGACTGCTTACATTAAATATTACTACATTCCTGACCACTAATCAAATCCCAAACACAATGCAATGGGCGTCTACCGAATCTTATCAGAAACAAAGTAACACAATTCAAATTTTTTTCAACAATAAAACACACTGCCATATAACCCAATGCTTAGGTCAGATTGTTATTGTGCTATATGAGGGGTTCAACGGTTGTTGTATGAATGCTAATGTCAGGACATTTTGTAATTGTGCTATATGTGAGTAGTTCAACGGTTGCTGTAAACATGCTAATGTCAGGACATTGTTATTGTGCTGTGTGAGTAGTTCAACGGTTGCTGTATCAGTGCTAATGTCACGACATTGTTATTGTGCTATGTAAGAAGTTCAACAGTTGCTGTATCAATGCTAATGTCGCGGCATTGTTATTGTGTTGTGTGAGTAGTTCAACGGTTGCTGTATCAGTGCTAATGTCACGACATTGTTATTGTGCTATGTAAGAAGTTCAACAGTTGCTGTATCAATGCTAATGTCGCGGCATTGTTATTGTGTTGTGTGAGTAGTTCAACGGTTGCTGTATCGGTGCTAATGTCACGAACTTTGTGTTATTGTGCAATGTGAGTAATTCAGCAGTTGCTGTCTCAATGCTAATACCACGGCATTGTTATTGTGCTGTGTGAGTAGTTCAACAGTTGCTATCTCAATGCTAATGTCGCGGCATTGTTATTGTGCTGTGTGAGTAGTTCAACAGTTGTTGTCTCAATGCTAATGTCGCGGCATTGTTATTGTGCTATGTGAGTAATTCAACGGTTGCTGTATCAATGCTAATACCACGACGTTGTTATTGTGCTATGTGAGTAGTTCAACAGTTGCTGTCTCAATGCTAATACTACGGCATTCTTATTGTGCTGTGTGAGTAGTTCAACAGTTGCTGTCTCAATGCTAATGTCGCGGCATTGTTATTGTGCTATGTGAGTAGTTCAACAGTTGCTGTCTCAATGCTAATGTCGCGGCATTGTTATTGTGCTATGTGAGTAATTCAACAGTTGTTGTCTCAATGCTAATGTCACGACATTGTTATTGTGCTATGTGAGTAGTTCAACAGTTGCTGTATCAATGCTAATACCACGACATTGTTATTGTGCTGTGTGAGTAGTTCAACAGTTGCTGTCTCAATGCTAATACCACGACATTGTTATTGTGCTATGTGAGTAGTTCAACGGTTGCTGTCTCAATGCTAATACCACGACATTGTTATTTTGTTATGTGAGTAGTTCAACGGTTGCTGTATAAGTGCTAATGTCACGACATTGTTATTGTGCTATGTAAGAAGTTCAACAGTTGCTGTATCAGTGCTAATGTCGCGGCATTGTTATTGTGATGTGTGAGTAGTTCAACGGTTGCTGTCTCAATGCTAATGTCACGACATTGTTATTGTGCTATGTGAGTAGTTCAACAGTTGCTGTATCAATGCTAATACCACGACATTGTTATTGTGCTGTGTGAGTAGTTCAACAGTTGCTGTCTCAATGCTAATACCACGACATTGCTATTGTGCTATGTGAGTAGTTCAACGGTTGCTGTCTCAATGCTAATACCACGACATTGTTATTTTGTTATGTGAGTAGTTCAACGGTTGCTGTATAAGTGCTAATGTCACGACATTGTTATTGTGCTATGTAAGAAGTTCAACAGTTGCTGTATCAGTGCTAATGTCGCGGCATTGTTATTGTGATGTGTGAGTAGTTCAACGGTTGCTGTCTCAATGCTCATGTCACGACATTGTTATTGTGCTATGTAAGAAGCTCAACAGTTGCTGTCTCAATGCTAATACCACGACATTGTTATTGTGCTGTGTGAGTAGTTCAACGGTTGCTGTATCAGTGCTCATGTCACGACATTGTTATTGTGCTATGTAAGAAGTTCAACAGTTGCTGTCTCAATGCTTATACCACGACATTATTATTGTGCTGTGTGAGTAGTTCAACGGTTGCTGTATCAGTGCTAATGTCACGACATTGTTATTGTGCTATGTAAGAAGTTCAACAGTTGCTGTATCAGTGCTAATGTCGCGGCATTGTTATTGTGATGTGTGAGTAGTTCAACGGTTGCTGTCTCAATGCTTATACCACGACATTGTTATTGTGCTATGTGAGTAGTTCAACAGTTGCTGTATCAGTGCTAATGTCGCGGCATTGTTATTGTGATGTATGAGTAGTTCAACAGTTGCTGTCTCAATGCTAATGTCGCGGCATTGTTATTGTGCTGTGTGAGTAGTTCAACGGTTGCTGTCTCAATGCTTATACCACGACATTGTTATTGTGCTATATGAGTAGTTTAATGGTTGCTGTATCAGTGCTTATGTCACGACATTGTTATTGTGCTGTATGAGTAGTTCAACAGTTGCTGATATTCGTTCACAAAAGCTTTCTCTTTTTTCTCCCAGAAGTTAACGGAACCATCATGATATGCACGTTTTGTACAGAGGCTGAACTGAAAGAGATGTCTGACAAACACATTGGAGAACTCTACAATCTGAATGTGACATGGATGTGTATGAGAATTACCAGGGATGTGGGGCCGGTGATGTGGAGGCTGTCGGAGACGCAGATCTGAAGGAGAAGGGAAGAATACCCAGGGTCTTGTTCAGACAGGACACGGACCAGCTGAGCAGAGCACTGGGCGATCTACAGCTGGGTTAGGTAGACGTCCTGTGTGAGGATGTGCCTTCAAGGAAATGGCACTGTATTTGGTAGATATATTTACAAGTGTTTAGTCTCTCGGACACGCCAGCCAAGCTTTATTTTGTGAATGTTCATGACACACATTTTACATGTAATGTTAGAAGCCGGACACAACTGTACATGCAGCGCTATTTATTCATATATAATCTGTTTATTAGTACATATGGTTAATATTGTATAGAATATTGATGTTATATATTTTGATCGTAGTAATTTCGAATCAAACTGCAATTGATAAAAAAATGTATGGAATGAATTTAGAATAGTCCATTGGTAATGTAATGATATGTTTGTAATAACTATGCTAGATTAAGTGTATTTTGGAGATATTCGTACTCCGTCATAAAGACAGCATGTTGTGAGATGTTTTTTGTGTGCGATGGATAATCAGAGGGCAGTATTTGTTACGGAGGTATGTACATTATTCCGATCATATCGATCTGGGAGAACGTTGCACGGTTGTGTCACGGTGACCTGCACAGGGGCCCAGGAGATGCAGTGTTCGATTGGCGGATCATGTCACATTGGGAACGAGAACCGCCAAACCAGACTAAGTAAGACCAACCGATCACCTTGTATGACATGTGTAGATGTCAAGGCACGAAATTAAGTAAACTACAAGACTCGGTGTTCCGCAATATTTCATGAAACTAATATTGTACACATAAACATTAGATACAGTAATTGCTTTGCTAACTTTCGTAAACTGTGGCGTGTTATGACTAACAGAACCGATAGCCTTCGCGTTGCTTTCCTAATTACATGCACTTGGTAACTGAGCGGTCTATGGGAGATAAATCGTGACGGGATGTTTGTGAGGCGCAATAACATACAGTAAACAAGAGTAAATAAAATCATGAACATGTTATCGCAGAGTGTGTTGTTTGTGTTTGTTAAAAAAATTAACTGTACATCTGTTTGTGATGGTTAACACCGCCCTCATCAATTGTGAATAACAGAGAAACCAGTGATCGACATCAAGAGCACCATCGAAGCCGACAATCCAACAAATTCATGGAGCCCGAACATCGCATCAATTGAGTCGCCTAGTGCGACAAGCATAGGTTCCTGAGGACCTATTCTAACCCTTACTCTTTAACTTGGTTCAATGTGGCTGTGTAAAAATGGTTGGCATAAAATAAATCTGGTAAATAATGAATGTATCCTTTGCTAAGTATTTGGAATAAGCAGATTGATCATTTCCGTATGTTGCGCTTGGGTATCTTTGTAAGACAATTTCTTAAATACATCTGCAAGGAGGATTTCGTCGTATTTGCAGACGAACGTCTTGTCAACAATATTTGTATCAACAAAGGTGGACGGATTATCTTTTCAGTGGAATTACAATAAAATGTTCTGATGATAAAGTTTCTGTTGGCAGCGATAGCGCCATAAATTGTCAAGGCAAGAGGACATTTTTTGAAGATTTTGAATCCAAACTCAACAATGTAAAGTTGTACAGAAGTATGGTTTGAGAATAAACTGCGTTTTCTTGTAACGTGCATTTCTCTGTGGAGGAACCATTTGGATTAAAAAAGTAAAGTCACCTGTCCACGATATGGTTTTCAATAACCCAGTCTCTATTACGTATGTTCAGCAAGATAGCTCCCAGCCATTGACATAATAATAGATGATAAACTTTGCTTTTATTTTATTTCGACTACTATGTACACACACAAGGAGACAAGTCTACACTGAATTTCAGGATAGGTTGACAATAGAATCCACATTTGAACACAACAACACAAAAACTGACTGACACAACATATATTGCAGAGTTTTCATTATGCCCCAAATTTAAACATGCTGGAAACAACTGAATACTAACCAGTAACTCTGTCATGTGTCATTCAGTTACCAACGGGGGTGTTACATGTTGTTGCTGATAGGTGCGAGTTTCTGTTAGACATGTCACTCTCTTCAAATTTTGAGAAGACGGAAATCTGATTGGGTGATTAACATAAACAGACACCTTAGGACCTACTTAGGTGTTAGGAAGAAACCTTTCGCTGATGTGATAAATCGCCTCCGTGGTCTCATGTAATAGTGACGTCACAATGGTCTGCAAAGCATTGTGATGTAATTTCATTGCAGCGATATCTACAGTGTAGATATCGCTTGATCTCATCCAAGCGATATCTCCTGTGGGAGCCAGTTTTGGATGTTAGAGAGAGAACAACAGCACAACTTGCAACATGCCATTGGGAGGAAATAATTCATCGAAATGAAGGAAATCTATGACGTCTAATCAAAGGAACTGTACTGAATTATATTGAGGTCACCACCTGTTTGTAAATAAATCCAAAAAAGCTAAGCATGTGAGTGAGTGAGTGAGTGAATATGGTTTTACGCCGCTTTTAGCAATATTCCAGCAATATCACGGCGGGGGACACCAGAAATGGGCTTCACACATTGTACCCATGTCGGGAATCGAACCAGGGTCTTCGGCGTGACGAGCGAACACTTTAACCACTAGGCTACCCGACCGCCCCTAGCTAAGCATGTCACTACATAAAGAACATGACAACAATGACACCACAATACCGCCTGATGCTAAATATATTATACCTTACAGCTACTTGTGATTCAATGTGATGTACAGAAAGTTAGGATAACTTGTATATTTCGTTCATGTAAGTATAAATGAGATTAAAATGATCAACTATATAGCAAATGGCTGCGGAAGAATGTCGGTACGTTACATCTTATGAGAGCATATGTGTCCAACGATGGTTCCGACATCCTTTTTTAATAAGCTCTGGAATGCATTTACGGGAAACTAAACGACTGGAGAACCAGTATCACGTGGGATTGCGATGCTTGTGAAGTCATCTCAGCCACCTGCGCTCCACCTACGCCCCCATTGATATTGTACTAACTATAACAGGTACTGTCTCCTTAATTAGTTCTTTTGTTGCAGATCCTTTCGAGGTTTTGATGAGATTGGGCGACAGCGACCTTTCGACTTTTAAAACAACACAGCAAGTCTCACCAAAGCGAACTGTGGCATCCTTTGAGGGATTACATATATATATATATTACTCTGTGCACTTACTAAGCATTCACCTGATGAAGGAGCAAGACGTAGCTCTGAAACATCGTACAAACAATAAAAGAAGTTACTATCCATAAAAAAGTGTCATGCGTTCATGTTCTCCCAACTTCTAAATGCCTATCAAAGATTTCGTCATTGTTAATGACACTTTGAATGGCGTACGCTATCGGGACGACATTGTTCGAAATCATGTTCTGTTCTACGATTGTGGAAAACCAAGGACGTAGGTATGGGTTTTTATCAATAATTTTTTTATCTTAAAATATTGATCGGACTAGTGACCAATATCAATATTGTTATTTTCAAGATCGTAACATTTACACCACTCTATATGAAGCATAGTTACCTTAAGCATAGTATCCGTTAGTATATAACTATCTTATATTACTTGAGTGGATTCGTTAGCCTGTAGGGGGAACGGGTGGCCCAGTCGTCTAAGGCGCCGCGATATGCCAGAGGGTGTTTCTTTCACTTCACCCAATGTATCTGGAGGAGGGTGCAGAAAGAAGGTCTGGTGATGGACTGAAACCTATGATTGTGGGTTCGAATCCCGGTTCGCCCCGATTATGTTTCCAGGTTTGTCAGCACCATACCCGTGCTCGTGGGTTTCACCGAAGTGGTAAACGTCTGAGACCTGCATCACTTCGGGCTTTCCTCCCACATTAAGCTGACACGCCGCGATATAACTGGAATACTGTTAAAAGCGGCGTTAAACCAAAACTCACTAACTCACTCGTTAGCCTGTAGCAAGCATGTCAGTCACGAAGGGAAAGAATTAATAACCATGTTCAAATACCACATGCCGTTGTGTTTTCAGTGTACGCTGCGTTATATAACCAACACTTCATCGAAGCACTACATTTTACTGCTCTCAGTTTTAAGAGTGGCTCAGATAGAGAATAATGCAAAGCGTTTGCACATGATGGGAATCTTTCCCCGACATGTTCATGTGAATTGGGGATGCGTTATTTTGTTAAATGACTAAACGTTTGAGGGTTACAGGCCGGCAAAGCCACATTTCGAAAATAGATAGCCCAAATTGATGTGGCTCTCGCGGCAATGGTTATGGTTGCGTGAGTGTATAATGTGGCTCTCGCGGCTATGCTGTCAACACATGCTTTGTGATTCTAACAGGTTACCGTATATAACAAAACAAGTCTTGTTTTCTCATTTTTTATTCAACAAGGATAACATATTCATCAAAACTTTACATTGTTGAATATGAATAGCATATGAATATCATGATGGATTTAATGTCATTACTGCTGATGAAGGAGGTCGCCCACGTGGTCAGCATATTCCATCTCACTCAGGTGTTGGTTTAGGAGCTGGATCTTGAGGGACGCAATACGTGCATCGATTGCCTTGTACTTCTTTCTTCTTGAAGGTTCTGACCACTGGTGAGAGAGTCTCAGGACTGCAACTTCTTTGAGTGACTGCTCTCGCTGAAATAGCTTCACTACCTCGTAGATGTTCGGGTGGCACTTCTTGGCAAGTTTCTTTATCTTGTTGTGCCACCCTTCCAGGTGATTATTGGTACGGTGGCCTTGGTTTTCGAAATGGTTCCAAATCTCTGGCATGAAGGCCCCTCCTTGAACCCAACTGGTTGTCACGTAGTCCATGAAGGCAGTCACTTTAGGGCAAGCAGGAGAGTCAGCAATGGCATCAAGCCACACATCATCCACTTTGTCACGAGGTACTAGAGGGAGGGCAGCAGCTCTTCTCACCAGCTTCTTCACCTCCTCATCTTCCATATAGTCCATCACCAGACCTTCTTTCTGCACCCTCCTCCAGATACATTGGGTGAAGTGAAAGAAACACCCTCTAACTAATGTCCCAGGAAATGTTCAATGTTCTTGTCTGTAGTGAAGATGAGGATGTATTTTTAATGTGGGACACGCATTTAAAGGTATCGGTAATCGGATTAATTAATTACCCGCTAGAATAGGTGAAATGCTCTCAGCTGAAAATGTGGCTCTACTGGCAATAGCCATTTCTGAAATGTGGCTCTCCCGGCTAGACACCCGTTTGAGATATGACACGGTAGACACAAGTTTATGGATAACAGGTTCTTTTATACTGTAAAAAGCGACGTTTCGGTATAGATCCTTATACCGTTGTCAAGCAAGACTGAATGAGGGACTTAGTACAAAATATATATAGTAGGTGGCGGATTAACAGTAACAACAATTGCATATATGAGTGGGATAACATAGGTAAGGTGTTGACAACAAGGGGATAATACTGTCACAACACGATTGAGATATGAACAAATTTGTTTTATTAAGTAGACGAAGGTTTATCATTTCCAATTGTAGGTAACAACTAGTTCCTTTAGTCATTATCTGTTAACAAAGGCAATTCATAGTCATACACAATCTGCTGGGACATAATGGTGATCGAGACTAGAATATATACATGTGAAATGTTACACGCCAGGCCCTGCATTTAGTTGAATACTTATACGCCAGAACAAGCAAATTAGTAACCTGTGCCATAGGTATATTAGTTGATCCTACATTGTGGGTCGCATTTACCAGCATGCAATTATCTTTCCTGATTCACTCACAAACTGAGGTCTGTACACTTTTTGGCTGTATTCACAACGCTGAGTGGAAATGTATTTAGTTCAGATGACTAAATCCAGCATTAATACCCGAGCTTTTATTTTAACATGACATTGAAGGCCTCAGCAAAAGTATTTTTGGTAGACATGCTGAGGACATTTCCAAATTTGATGCATCAGTTACAAACATGCATTTTTTTTTTACTTTCACAATATGTTCCCGGGTTTTTAACGATGTGTTTGTAATGGTAGCAGAATACGCTCAACGTTTCGCGACCACCTGCCCTGGTAACATCACTTTTGGATTGTTATTCATAACACATGCTTTTATATAATCCGAATCGTCCAATCGACTCAGTGGATATTTCTTATGATTACGGAAATGTTTTTGTTGCTTTTATTTAAGGAACTTACATCTCAAGTTCATGTTTCATGCAGATTGTCAGATCTAATCTTCCTGCTTCACTCATCATACACAAACTATCATTTGTTCTCATTCTCCATTGTAACTGCCTCCATGGTCTAATGGATAGAGTGTCTGCATGGAGAGCGGGAGGTCGGTGGTTCGATCCACGTCCGCGGCATAGCAAAACACGTTAATAGATGGTACTTCTTGTTTTCCAATCTGCCGCTCGTCATTAAGACGATTAAACAACGATTGTCAGCTCGGAGTCAGTGTACTGTGTCAATATACTGTATCGCAGTAAGCCAGCACTATACAACTGGTATTCGTCCGGACGGGTACAAACACCAACAAAAACACAAACATACAGGGTAAGACCAATTTCACTTCACCTCACTACTTCTTCATTGCATGCATAGCATGTGTTGAAACATCAACTGCCGGGCAAAAGGAAGTATACCCTTGAAAATGGGATTGAACCCCAAAATTACAAACATTATCAAAACGTAACTGAGCTGAAAACTTAAGTTCAAAAGTCCAAAACACAACTATGATACATCACCATCGAATACCCATTTCCCGTTTGTTTCATTTTTAGCCACCATCAAATATGGGTGTGTAGTTTCATTTTCCGGGCCGTTTCACCTTTGATACCTAAATATTTTCATATCCAAAACACATTTAGATTGTTGTGTAAAATCCAAGCACGTTCAGAAAAATAACGAGCCCTTGATCTACGTGTTTAGAATGAAATATCGGAATTGCTGAGTTGGAACGGTATTTGTCGCCAGGTGCTCGCGAAAACCTAAGCGTATTCTGACCAGGTGCTCGCGAAAGTCTAAGGATGAGCGTATCCTGCCCAACCGAAGGCGCCTGTCACAACCACATGTCAAGGCAAGTACGAGAAACTTATATTGATACATATATCCATGTATAATATGTTTGTAAATTGTGCAATGAACGTTACCTGATATAACTGGCTCTGGAATGGTAACAACAGGACTGTGTCATCTTCAATTAGGTTTATATACTCGTACTCAGTACTTTGAGATCTAGAAAAGGTCTTCAGCAACCCATCCTTGCTTTAAGAGGCGACTGTGCTTGTCGTAAGAGGCGACTTACGGGATCGGATGGGGGGGGGGGGGGGGTCAGACTCGATGACTTGGTTGATGCATGTCTTTTATGCCAATTGCGGGGATCGATGCTCATGATGCCAATAACTGGTTTGACTCGATTAAAGACCGCCGTCATGTAGCAGGAATATTGCTGGGTGCGGCGTTAAATTACAAACCATCCATCTGAAGAAGAAATCTGCCAAAACCATGCATTAGTACTATCGACTTTTGACTTGACTCTAAAACCTGAAGACATGTCCATTCCTCTTTTGTACTGGATTCCAAAGCTCCATAAAAACCCGTACAAAGAGTGTGAGTGAGTGAGTTAACAGTCCACGTCACTTCGGCAATATTTCGGCCATATAATGACGAGAACAATTTCTACATGAACTGGAAATAAATTCAGACCCAGTAAAAGACACCAAGAAAGGACAGTCAAACAATTAGAATATCACAGAATTATATTAAAACTAGCAAATAATAATAAAACGATTTCATTGTACAAAACAATACAATATAAAAACGGGCTAAAGATCACCAGCAACCAAAGGTAAGCCACCAAACTAGGGACCATTGGACTTACAGTACCTTTGCTTCTTACATGGAACCCCAGCAGGTTTTACACCATCTCTTTAATTAGTCTAAGGTGATTATGGACTACGTTTCAGCCAGAAATTAAAACAAACAAATATTCTTCGATTAAAACACTGTTATACATTAAGATACTTTGAAAGACCTGGGCTTACATACCCTCTCAGGGGGGCAATAATTGTACATAACTTTACAAATACATAACTTTCTATATCAAAATTTATCAATTAATTCAATTATCTGATTTAAAATATCCTTTATGGATGAAACTTTGAAATATAAATACCTTGAGATGGAAAATCAACACTGTCCAGCAGGACATGCTTGAATGTGATTCGTTCATCACAAGGGATACAAAATGGAGGATCCTCGCCTTTCAATAAAATTAATATTCATAAGTATATCTACTATAGCCAATACGACATCGTGGTAAAATGACCTCTTCAAATATGGTCTGTCAACCGAAGAAGGTGTAACCGATACTAGTAATTGGTTTGATTTGATGCAACTTATTCATGCTTACTTTGGTGTCCAACTTCTTTTGCATTAGATCTCGGATGTAACATCTAATCATAGGTTTGTAGTCACTGTATGGGACAAGAAGTGGTGTCACAGACTTGTTGAGGGCTGCCTTTGCACTAGCATCAGCCATTGTGTTACATTTTATGCCATATGACAGGGCATCCAACGGTGTCGTATAAGCATTGTAAAGTTCTACAATAATTGGATGAATCGAAGAGACATTTTTATGAGTCTGAAGACATGAGGAACAAAAAAAAAGATAAACTGTTCACATGCAGACTGTCGTTGAATGAATACCAAGGGTGTAAGGATTGCAAATGAGTTAATTTCTGGTAATCTAGATGATATAAGTTTTGATCCAACGACAGTGGCACTTGCTGCTTTGCCACCGTCCTTGGATCCAACACTAAAGATTGAACGGTGAGTGTCGTATTTATGTCTTAATGGTACATATTCCTGTTGATACACTAGTTGGTTATTGTCAGATTTTATTAAACGTGTCAAGGAACCGTCTACTTCTGGTCTCACCAACTGCCAGGGATGAGTAGACAAAGCCGATATGGAGAGATAATATATGTCTAGATTAGCAGAAATAGTATGTGATTTGATCCGAATTCCAAGTGGTGGAACCAACTTGGGTTTCCTCTGAAATATTTTTTGAAAGAGGGGATTAAAAAGAGCCATAAGAAGGCGTGGAAGGATTGGAATGTCATGTTGTGATATATTGATGTGACAATTTGTATATCAAATTGTTTATTCATTGCAAACTGAAAGGCCATAGGCCCACAGTTCAACGCAATTACAAGGTATGCGTGTTTCTTGTAACTAACAATGCATGATGTATGTACAATGCAATATTTTGTAATAAAGTAATATTTGAGGTTGACATGAGTATGCAAAACAAATTGATATTTGGATAAGATGTAAACTTCTCTGGAATTCACTTGTTTCTTTATTGAAGATAGAGTTTACACACAAGAGTTTACACACGAATTTTTTTTATTGTAACATATATTAGATATTCTTCCAGTATAAATTGTTGTTTGAAGAGAGAATAGGTATATGTACATTTGCTATTTCTTAGTTCTATTTTATCCACATTTGCTGAAAACAATCTTCAGCTCTGGAGTAATAATGACAAATACATCTTGACATTTCCAACACCCTGATCCACCCATGCGTATCCAAGGTTTAAACTGTAAAGGGTGATTTTGATATTTGTTGCCCAATTATTTTTATAACGTGAATTACTGGCATTTTGGTCGAGATAGAACAGCATCTTATAGGCTTTTACTGGGTATCGCGTGGATGGAAGAGTCGTTAGTTTTAATCAATAATTTATACAGCGCTTAAGCGAAAATATATGCAATGGATATCTGCCACATTCCCCAATTACAATACCATTTGGGGTGGAGGATCGAACTCCAATTACACGTTTACACGTTTATTGAAAAAGATAGATGCAGCATGTGGTTGATTGACAATAGCGTTTTTATAATTGATTCTAAACTAACCAAATGTTCAATTGTACTTCGGCTTTTACGGAAATCACTGATCAGATTGTTGGTTTCTTAAAACCAAACCAATCGATTATTAACCGTGCGCTAATAGGTCGATAATTTGATGGATCTGTATGATTACTGCCAAGCTTTGGTATGGG